CTCCTACTCGAGCTAAGCGGATTTTCTGCAAGCGCAATCGCTCCTTCGTTATCCTCAAAGACGTCAATTTTCCGAGGCTTCGCACTAGGTCTCAAGAACTGAAGCATCCCGTTCACAAAGAGAGCCTCCTTAACACCGTCACCCATCGCAATATACTCTGCTTCAGAAGTTGACAGTGAGACACATTTCTGCGTCCAAGAAAACCAAGACACAAGACAGCCAGCTACAAGAACTAATGCTCCAGAAACTGATCTACGGTCAGTGGCCTTGCTGGCAAAGTCAGCGTCTACGTACACTTATGTGCCTACGTCTACCGTAGTGTCTTGCTTGTACTTCAGAGTTAGATGTGCCGTTTCCTTAAGATAACTCAAAATCTTCTGGGCTGCCTTCCAGTCACTCTTCTTGGGCTCGTGAGAGTGTCTCGCCACCGTCCGCACAGCGTTCGAAGTTTCTGGCCTCGTATTGTTGGCGATCCACATCAGGCATCCCACCACTTCCCTGAACGGCACATCTCCTGCCTCCTCATCCTCCATCACGGACCTGCTATCGTTGGCAGGGGAAGCGGGGATCGAGCTGGTGCGACAAATATTGAATCTCTCTAGAACACTCCAGATGTAACTCTCTTGAGAAATCTCAATCGTGCCAGCCTCGCGGTCGCGACTAAATGCGCAACCAAGAAAGAATCTGACTTCTCCCAAATTCTTCGTAGGAAGAGAGTCACCTAGTGCCTCTGCAATCACCTCGGCAAGCCTCTTCGTTCCTGCATACAGAATGTCATCCACATGAATCGCGATTATACCCATCACCTCGTCTCCCATCATGAAACGCAGGACACAGGGATCAGACAGAGACTGCTCGAAACCTATCCGAAGCAGGTCCGACACGAGCCTCTTGTAAAATGTTCTAGATGCTTGCTTCAAACCGTACAAACTCTTGTTCAAACGGACAATTTTTCCTGACATCGAATCACAGCCAGGAGGCAACTTCATGAACACCTTGTGATCCAATTTTGACTGAACAAAAGCTTGCTCAATGTCTAAGTGGAGTAATTCCAAGTTATACTTGCACGCCAATGCTACTACCAATCGAATCGATGCAGCATTTGCAGTAGGCGAGAAAGTCTCAAGATAGTCCACCCCATGCTTCTGCTTGAAGCCCTTCGCTACAAGCCTAGCCTTGGCCTTTACTATCTTTCCTGTTTCGTCTGCTTTCCATTTGAAAACCCATCAAGCATCAATCACGTTACAACCTTCTGGGATTTTTGCTGCTAATCGTGAACGTTCCTGCTCGTATCAAGCCTTCAACTTCTGCAGACATGGCT